TTATTTATGTCATGGATTATAGAAGAGATTATGTAGATTAGATTTATTTCCTGTATTTACTTTAAGTTCAAAAGTTTCTTTTTTTTGTATTTTCTTTAAGTTTTAACAAGTTCAATTTTTTGTACTTCCTTTAAGTTTTAAATTGTCTGTTTCTTTATTCATTTATATAGTATGTGCTTTTTCCAATAATTTTTTTTGCTGCTCCTAATTACTAATCAGTGAACCTCTGATGTAAAAGGGTAGCAACAAATAATTAAATAAAAATACTGTTCAAGTTTCGTCTCCGGCGGTGGTTTATTGCTTAAATATTTTCAGCAAATATTTTGTAAATATTGTGCGTATAAAACCCATTTTCATTGAATACAGTTTAATTTTTATTATGTGTGTTATCCCGTTTCGTTTCGTTCCGTTCCGTTTCGTTTCTTCGATTACAATAAGCCTCCGGATGCTCCTGTTGGAAGTGGCGGGAAAGTCCCGGTGGGAAAGTTCAGGTAGACGTTTGCGTCCTGGTCGGGGCTATGGGTCCGCCAATTCGGGGCCTAGGACGGTGTATTGGAGTGGTTGTACGACGACGATTGTTTGACTTTTGGCGAACATTTAACTCGTTTGCAAAAAAATAGCTTTACGAACATTGCTGCAAGTTATACCACGATCCTGAAGAAATTTGCGGAGTTCTGGAACTTTTTTGCTTTTCCAATCTATTGATTTACGCATGTAAGAATACAGAACTTTAATAAAAACAACCCCACTCAGGCTCGTCATCCGGGTATTTTGGATGCGCCCTCTAGCGGAATTCCGTAGAAAACTAACAACTCGAAAATTAGGAATTGTGGCTTCTTTTTTTGTACCATGTACTGTATTCACATGTGATACTAGTAGTAATCTTTCCAATAGTTCCACTTCAATTGCATATATATTGTCAGCCGGGCATATCACTGTCCGAAAGAGGCCGACTGCCACATTGGAAAGAATAATGTGCCACGAGCTTGGTCTCGTTTCAACTTCGCACATACCTTGTTCATTAATATTGTAAAGCGATTTTTGAGAGCCGAGCTTTTGTTTTTTTTCCCCATCCCAACTTTGGGAAAGAACTTCAATTGTCTCAGTATTGGGACATTTTCAGCAAGGATTGAACCTTGCATAATGTACTAATGCTGTCAAAAGCAACCTTATCCACTGAAATGTAGATCTCACAGAGCATCAAGCTTTCGGACAGCATCACTACTGATGCTCCAGTCGTAATTTACTGTTGCTGTCAAACGCGCCCCCATTCACTGAAATGTAGATCTCACATAGCTTTAAGCTCCTGGGAAGTATAAATATTGATGATCCAGTCGTCGTTGACTATTGCTATCAAAAGCAACCCCATCCACTGAAATGTGGATCCCACAGGGCCTCAAGTTCCTGGAAAGCATCAAACCCGAATACTCCAATCGTTGTAAATAACATGATTACTTGGCCCATCGACTAGAACATTCTGCCCCAGAGGGGCACACTATGGGCATACCAGCGTATATGCTATTGCATAAATCAAATTCCATAACACTATATCCTGCAACTCAGGTACTCTTCTTTCGACTCTCGCAATCTTCGCCACGATCTAGTTTTTTGTGCGCAATTGCACGTTTAAGCCTTCAAAACCTTTACTGTTTCGTGAATTGCAACGAGTTCCTTCCAGGTTGAACTTTCAACCTGTTCTTATAGAGACCACTTACACTCGCCTCCTTACCTTCTTGGTCAATACACCTGCCATAGCCAATTGAGGACGTTTCAGTATAAAAAACACACGGTGTATAAAAAGACACCTTCAAAGTATTTACTGTTGCGTACAATCCTCACCACTTCCTGGTTATCCACTCCAATCTTTCATAATAACATACAGTGAGCTTCAACGAGTGCTCGCCAGGTTGAACTTTCAACAATACAATACAGATCCCTTACCACACACACTCTTACCTTCTTGTTTAACATTATAAACCACCATGGCCGTCATGGCCGTCATGTACGGAAGCATGGCGCAGTCCCATCCATGCGCATTAAATTCCCGACTCGCTTATCTAACATGATGAAAAAACAGACACAAATATACCTATTCTGGAATTGCAGTGTTTTACTGATTCCTTCAAACATGCACGGTATGAAAGAGCCCTAGATTTAAACAGACCGTTACCAGCTTGATTTCATCGATACGTTGATGCAAGCTCACCAATAACCTAGTCACACACACACAACTGACCAACAACTTACCTTCGCTTTGATATTTTTGTGAATAAACATGGCGCGATAGAAATGCCGAATTCCAAAGTAAAACTCCTTGGGAGAATCCAAAATAGCCCTGATGTTTCCAGATGATCGTGATGTGATGGTACGTGGACTTAATGTAAAAAGTAATTAAATGATCCACATGAACGAATAATTGTCAAGCGAGCCAATTATCAATTTCGGTTGACGCAAATACATACCGTGGAGAAGTAGCCATAAACGGCATACACGTCCAAGACTTTAGACCAAGTGGTTGTGACTTTACAAACAAATTACCGCAACTATAAACCTGCTCACAAGAGTCACTGGCAAAGGGACGCAAATCTTAAAATATCACATCGTACAACTCAATGCATACAGGATTGACTTTTTTTTTTTTTTTGCCGCGACAATTAACACCCCATAAATTAAGGATGCTACCTCACAAAAAACGAACAATCAAGATCGGCATAAGTGTTAAAATAGTTACATGAAGAGTTTAATGTTCGACATCTTTGAAGTTGGAGGACACGTAACGCATATGGCCGAATAAATATGCTCATGGTTTCTTTGAATTCTCCGCTCTCGAAAGAGTACTCGATGCGATCTGTTAGCAATCTTGCTGTGGTGCTGGGTATGATGCATAGTAAATAAAATTAATATTGCCCTCTGTTTCTTCTCGGCTTCAGAATGCTTTTTTGCCATTCAAAACATAGGCCGAAATGTACGTCTTGTATGTTTTAACATCTCGTCTAAGGTCTTCCCAATCGGCTAACCGAAGTGAACGTTGTCGTGCATTTCCGACACTATGGGATCTGCTAGTTCCATCAACCGTCTTTTCTACTTGCACTTGAAAAAACATAGTCGTGATGTCAAAAGTTTACTGTTGGGTTGAAGCACAGGAATGAACAAAGTGTGACTAAAAAAGGAAACCGCCGAAAACTGCACTGTAGCGAGACTGGCCTAGATTGACATTCAACCTTCTGTCCTCCACTTAAATACCCCTTGTCACATGACCCCACATACCATACCGTCTGTTTGCCATCTCGACAGACAATAGTTAACGCGGTTAACAATATTTCTTTTGTCCAGCCGTTTCATTCATTGTTTTTTACATATCACTGCTCAAGCATTGTATTCTCTTCGCTCGTTATCACAATCATTGCACTATTCTCCTTGTCGAACAATCGCTTTTTTCAAGCATACCATGGCTCCTCGAGGAAAAGGGCGTCAGTCAAGGAAAACCAGTGGTGTTTCATCAAGAATACAACCGTATTCAATGCCAGTGACGCGATCACGTTCAATTCCGACACCCGTACAGGGAGTTATGAACGGCACTCCTAACGGGAGTGGAGTAATGAACACACAAACGCAACCGATCGAGAATGAGGCAACGACAACAAATGCGACCTTCTTGGAGCTGAGGCTTTTACATTGCATGCCCCTACGGATAACATACTTTCGCATTCCCTGTCCATTTCCGAATTTATTTTGGCTTTTGCCATCTAAAAAAACGTGATGTGTGAAGCTTATCTCGCATGCCGGCAGGAACTTGATGCATATTAACGTGACATCGTCGAAATGAGTTTCTGTTTTGGTGGTGCGACTTCTTTCCAGTATCACCATGAATTCTCTGTGAGAGCCGCAACTCTATTGTTGAACCATAACGTGAAAGTGGACTGGTCACGTCATGACAACCAACTTTACTGCTCTATTTTCGCCGAATGTCGCGCTATTTCCTGTTCTACTTGCGGGGGTGTTGGTCATTCAGCAATTTCCTGCCCTGATGCATCAAGGAGAATGTCTAATCAAAAGATCCCACTGGCCACTGGCAATAACAATACACTCGACAGAATGAGTCGGCGATGTGTAACCTTCCAGGGAATAGAACTGTGTAATACTTTTAATTCGTCAAAGGGGTGTAGCAAACCAAACTGCATCTTTGCTCCTTTGTGCTTGTCTTGCCATGCCAACGACCACTGTGCTATCCAGTGCCAACAGTTAACATTTCAAGGCTCCAACATGAACTTTTGAACCACCCGACTCTTATTTTGTATCCTGCTTGATTAGTGGCCTGACTGAAGGTTTCGATACAGGCATACATAATCCACCTACTACTTCTCTGGTGTGTCGTAATCTTTCATCTGCTCGCAATCAACCAGACATTATTTCAGAACTCGTACGAACAGAGGTCGACAAAAGTTATTTAACGGGTCCTTTCCCAACTCCCCCTTTACACATTATCGATGTAGCCCTATTGGTCTAGTGGAGAAGAAATATTCTACAAAAGAGCGGCTTAACGTCCACCTGTCCTCTTCTCGTGATTCCGAAACACCAAGTATTAATGGACTCATTAACAAGGAGGACTTTTCACTCACGTATGTGGAAGTAGACGTTGCTATTGCCGCGATCAATAAAGCTGGTGCTGGAGCCATGTTATGCAAAACAGACATTGTAGACGCATTTAAGCTCATTCCGATCCACCCCTATTTGTGGCATTTATATGGAATTTATTGGCAGCTATCATACTTTGCGCGTCTGGCCTTTGGTTGTCATTCAAGTCCTAAGATTTTTGATCACTTGTCATCTGCGATTTGTTGGATCGCAGAAAACAACTATGGTATCAAGACTATTTTCCATTTGCTGGACGACTTCCTCACCGTTGACTTGCCAAATGCCGAAGCAGAAAGAACCATGGCTGTCTTGACTTTGATTTTTAAACGTCTAGGCATACCACTAGCACCTCACAAAACAGTAGGCCCTAGCTGCACAATCGAGTATTTAGGAATCAACACATGCATGCACGGCTCCCATGGACAAATTAGCTCGCATCCGAGAAATGTTACTTACATTTATCAACCACAAAACTTGCACAAAGTGCAACCTTTTGAGTCTGTTAGGCCATTTGTTACTGGTAGAACTTTTATTTCTCGTCTCATCGAACTTTCAAAGGGGGTCAAGTGCTTTCATCACTTCGTCACCTTGTCTACAGAGGCCAAGCAGGACTTATTTATGTGGCAAAGGTTGCTGGCTAACTGGAATGGCATTTCCATGTTCTTAGATGTACATACAACACCATCATCCAGTATGGAGCTTTTCACTGATGCCAGTGGTGTTGGTTATGGGGGCTACTATCAAGGTCAATGGTTTCAAGCCCCCTGGTCCAATGAGCTTCTTCTGGAGAATGACCCAACACAGGAATTATATCCTATTGTTGCTGCTTGCTTCCTTTGGGGAAAACACTGGTGCTGTAAGCGAGTGTTATTTCATTGTGACAATCTAGCAGTGGTGAACATTATTAACAAGTCACTAGCTATAATGAAACTCATGCACCGCCTAGTCATTCTAGCAGCCACTGATAGCTTCACTTTCCAGGCAGAACATATACATTAACGTTATTAACATTATTGCTGATTCGCTATAACGTTTACAGGTTCGTCGTTTCTAGAAAGCAGCCCCACTCGCACAAGAACAGCCGTGCCCAATAACTTGCGAAATAATGTTTGGCTAAATGATGCTATTTCGCACTTTTAGGATGCCTCCCTCAGCACGAGGACACACCAGTCCTATGCAACAGGAGTGCGTGCATGGCTGCCACCTTCTTCGAGTTACCTGGTGCTGCAGCATCCTATCCAGATATTTCAGAAGACACTGTAATTTACTTTGCAGCTCACTGTGCATCCACGATTAAAGTTTACCTCGCTTCAATTCGGAACCACTACATTCAGGGAGGCTATGGAAACCCCATGATCACATCCGAGGGCTTGGAGTTCACTCGTCTATCCTATGTGTTGAGAGGGATTCAATGGACACAGGGTTCTTCATCTCGCCCACGTTTGCCCATAACAGTGGACATCCTTAAGCAATTGTGTGTGCTTCTGCAAAGCGGTGTATATGGAGCTACACAGATTTACTTTTGAGGTCATCGTTCACCCTTGCCTTTTTTGGCTTCTTGCACTGCAATGAGTTTACTGCCCTAGTGAATGGTTTCAACCCCAATATTCATCTCTGCATAAAGGATGTCATCATCAATAATAAAAAAGATTCAATTAAGTCTGTAACAGTGCACATCAAGTCTTCAAATACAGACCGTCAGGGTTTCCACCTGCAATTATTTCCAACACGCAATGCAGTTTGTCCGATCACTCTCTGCCTTTTACTCGTTTACCGCGAGGAGTGTCTTTACAAATTTGTGTTTTTGATAACAGATCTGACACCCTCAAACACCTTAGATAGCAGACATTCATATTCCCCTGGATCCCAGGAACAGATGGGATCTGTTTATTTTACTATAAACATCTGTGTGGTCTGTTTGTGTGATAAAATTGAATCATGACGACACATGTCTGACACCCATCGCTCAACACCTCAGCAAACTTGACATTGATTTCCCCCCTGGATTCATGAACTGTTTTTGAACAGGACATCTGTGTGTCTGTGTGGTCTGTTTGTGAGATAAAATTGGATCATGATGACACAGGTCTGACAACCAACTCTCAACACCTTAGCGAACTCAACATTGATTTTCCCCCTGGATTCATGAACTGTTTTTGAACAGGAGAAACCTGTTTATTTTACGACGTGTGTGTGTGTGTTGGTGTAGACGTAGAAGTAGAGCCAGTAGTCCAGACATACACAAACAAAGTGGAGTCGTTTGTACAAGTGGAGCCCCAAACATGGGGCTCCACAATGTTTCATAATTTATATTAATATTTAATCAAATTTAAGTCAGGTTTGCGAAGCTTAGGTTTATATCGGGGTAGGTATGGTACAGTTTATATATAATATTTATATATATATTACCCCAATACTAAACCTAAGCTTCGCAAACATTTCTATGTTCAGTCACGGGATATTCAACTCTAGTTTAATTAAACTTAATTAAAGTGCAATTCTCCATTGTATTGCATTGTAATTGAGTTTAATTAAACTCCAATTAAAACTCAACCTTATATAGGAACGCGTTTTAATCGAGTTCATATCGCAACTATATTAAAAGTTAATTCAACTATATTAAAAGTGAATCCAATGGTGGCTCATCAATTCATGGGACGGACACCTGTATGTCTGTGTGTGTAATGAATCTATAAATATATTTGACTTGGTTGGGAAAAAATGTTAACATGATGTAAACATCTGGGGTAACAGAAAGGGGAATATTTTAACACTAGGCGTGGGTATTGGGAATCATTTTATCACTGATGAGCGTACTAGCAACATGGGTTCGAATCAGCTCCACACATACCTAAATGATTTCTCAGGCAGTCTCGTAGAGGATGTGATACCTTCGACATATGACCAAAGTATTTCAACTGCTGCACCACAAGTTGAACCTGATGTTTCTAAAAATCAACTCGCCGTATTAAAAGACGCAAAGTCACGAATGCGCTGCCAACACCTAAATCATCTGAAAGCCGGGTGCCCCCCGAGAGGTGAGAGCATTTACACATATCTGCTGTGCCCTGTCAACAATCTGTACATCACTGTGAATTCTTTTCTCCAACGTACTTATGTACATCTTTGTGAGTAATTTTATATAGATATTTTCTTTGTATTTTTCACTGGCAACAGGAAACCATTGGATAAACTGGTTATGAAAAAAAATCGTCACTTAATTCATCTCTACACAAGTTCATCGTATCATTCAAGCCAATTGCCTCGGGTTGATATAGAGCATCCTTCACAACACCAGCATTTGTGTTCATCTTATGGATTCGCTGATGAAAGTACTGTTCATTCGTCTCTACATTGACCAAGCTTTGTCTGAAATTGATAGTGGTAAAATTGCCATGTGTTACGATGCATTTCAACACATTCACCCAGAGTTGGTTGGAAAATTGTCCAAGCGGTATACCCGTGTACTGTTTCGACAATTTAAATCAAACCTTCAAATGTGTTTAGTCTGCCGTGAAATCAAGTTATCAACACGCGAAATGGATTCACAACTCTTTGACATTATACAACATCATATATAGAATAAGCATGCCAATCATACTTTATCAGTCATTTTCTGTAGTACAGTAAAACACTCGGTGAATTTTCTACTGACACCTAACCCTATCACATTTATTATTATTATTATTATTATTATTATTATTATTATTATTATTATTATTATTATTATTATTATTATTATTATTATTATTATTATTATTATTATTGGTGTTATTATTATTAGAATTATTATTATATAATCGATTCTCAGTGTAAATACTTAACCGCATTTGAAAGAATACTCTATGTATTTCAACCGTTCTAAAATGTCATTTTTTATTCTTAAATATTACTAATAATATCATTCTTATATATTACTCAGTTTTTAATCCATTCTTTTTTTATTATTTACTCAAACAAACAAAAAAAAATGTATATTCCACGTCACTGTTCTTCGATGTTTTACCCATTTTTGTATAATAAACTCCGTTAGTTTTCAAAATGACGTATTTATTAGCGTGTGAGTGTGTGTGCGTGTGTGAGCGCCCTCTACGATACATTCTGAAAAATTGTTCGTGACGTCCATACTCGTCCAATTAAAAATAAATTTTCAAAAATCCAATTAAAAAAAAAAAAAAAAATGATGGTAATTTATGCAAATGCATTTACGATGACCTCGTTACGACCTCGTATTCAAATCAATTTCATGTATGCAAGTGTATTCACAATATCCCACTGTGACGTCATCCTCACGCAAATTAACCACTTTACGGCCATGATCGCTCATTTATGCTAATTTATACACGAATTCCCATTGTGGCGTCATCATTTCTGCTCATCTATGCACGGTCCCCCATTGAGACGTCATCCATCCCGTATGACGTCATCGCATCCGACCTATGAACAGCGCCCTCATGGTCGTCCCTATAATGTAACTTAAACTACTGCTGCATTTGAAGGATTTTAAAGCAATCACAGAAAAAACAGATTAGTGGCGAAATATTTAAAGGCCGGTAGTCGTCGTGCCACGTTTGCGCGAGATATATGGGTCTCATATTAACAACGATGGTGACTTTGGCTACAAACTGAGACCTTACCAAGCTTTAATTAGATATGTTTAAGTGACTAGAATCATCGAAGGAGTCACCGTGCAATTCGCGCCCCGATCAAACCTCATATAACACAAATGTTCAGCAGCCCGGGCTTAAATGTTTGTTTCGTCTAGATGAATTTATTGTCTTAAAAACATAAAACAATACTATAGATACTATATAAAAAAACAGCTATAAAGGGTAGACAGACACAATGAAAAACAGTTTTAGATTTTAATGCTGATAACCAAAACGTATCTACAGGTGTAGAATAAACAAATGGCATATCATATCATATCATATCATATCATATCATATCATATCATATCATATCATATCATATCATATCATATCATATCATATCATATCATATCATATCATATCATATCATATCATACCGTATCTTCCGACATTATCCTTTGCGTGAAAATGCTTTTCATAAAAGCCTACCTTTAATTGGTACAACCCGCTAGATACAAAAAATAATCTATACCCAAGTGAAACACAATGTAAGTTATTGTTGTAAAAGCCAATGCTATGCTGAAAGGTGTTATTCGATATTTAATCATGAAATTGACGTGACATTTAATTAGTGAGTTAGTTCTCAGGGCAATAATAGTTCCCCAGTATATACAATGGAAAGTTGTTTTCCCAAAATGCATTGTTTATATATGTGACATGCTTACCTATATGAGCAATGTCTGCAAAAAAATTGAATGACGTCATTAAAATTGAGTGGATGATACGCCTACTGGCAAATAATTATGACAATTAATCCAAGAAATGAATCATATTCTTGATGACGATATTTAAAAAAAAACAATAGATTATTGAATATATGAGTTTTCTGAAGCCTCGTCACGGGTTGTGTGCTGTCATAGCTTATGTATGTTACGTAACCTGTAGAAATCGCACCTGGTTCATAGTAAACCACGTATTGCATTCTAATAACAATCACGTACTTAGCTCGTTTAGTGAATCGACCTGACTATTCATTAAAAAATCGATCTGAAAATCATTGGTTTGTATATAAAAAAGCTGCAATCTCTACTTTCATCATGTGAAATAACCTCGTTCTGAAAACCACTTTATTTACTAGTTAATTTGGGGAGTTTAAAAAACAAAACATCATTTATTCCAAGTAAGGTCACCGTGGCAACGTTGACAAAGAAACTAGTAAAGGCGGTCTGTTTGAAACAAAGAAACATGTTCTTGGTGCAATAAATAACATTACATGTATTTGAGTAAAATAGCATAATTAAGCACAAGTTACTCTAATGAACTAGACTGCTGTAAAATGACTAATTTTCACTGGGTTGAAACTTCACTGATTTAGCATTACATGCATATTCAGCGGGTTTTAAATTC